TATATATATATATATTTTAAAGGAGTGTCTAAGATTAAAATTGTTTATTATCCATAAAAATTGTTAGACTATTTTTTATAACCTCGTACTTGAACATCCATATTAAATTACTATTTCATGTAATCACATGCATGTATTAGGTTTTAATTTCTACATTTTAAAATTTTCTGCTTTTCCAAAACCTGTTACACATGGACAATGATGCATAAATGACTGTATAATATCAAATTTACAATTTTAGACATTCTATTTTTAATTATATAAAATATGTAATGTTTTTACCGGAATTTGTCGTAGGGACGATCTTCCAAGTAAGATTGGTGAGCCTACTTCTCGGGTACGCTAGTACTCCAAGATGGGGGTGGTACCTGCAAAAGAGACTCTGATGCTAAAGTTAGGGTTTGTATGAGTAATAGTCTCGTATAAGTAATGCACGTACCTTGGAGTGAATTAGGGTTGCTTTGGGCTCTGGGCCTGAGATAAGATATGATAGCGGATCTCGTCTAGGGTGAGATCTTCGGTAATCAGTGATTAGATAATGGATCTCGTATGGATGAGATCCTCGGGAATCAGTTGTGATTCACCTGAATGTCGAGCTGACGTTGTATGACGCGTGCCTGAGATCATCTTGCACTGTGGTGCCGAGCTTGGAGCTCGGCTTCGCGATACGGTCAGTACATGTAATTTCTGTCCTTTTTCTAAATACTCACATGTTGATTTTAAAATTATAAAATTGATTGTAACCTAACACTAATCAAATGATACAATAATTAATATTTAATAATATTTAAGATAAATTATATTTTTCATTTTTATTCTTATCTCAATTCCCCACTCTTATAAGAAAATAGGTAAAAAATAATAATAATGTATCATTTGGTTAAACATATATTTTTTCATGAAGAAAATTAATAGAGGTGAGTCCCACATACTTAAAGTTTTTAAGATCCTGAGTTGGTGAAGATTTTTGGGTTGCTAGACACAGAAAAAGCAGTTAGTTTTGAGTTGGATGGAGATGAAATTTTGAGGTTTAAGGGTAGAATTTGCCTACCTTAAGATTCTGAGTTGAAGAAGTCTGTGTTGGAGGAAGGTCACAAAAGTAAGTTTAACATACATCTTGGTATGACTAAGATGTACGAAGACCTCAAGACTAAATTTGGTCATCTACCATCACCGCTGCAGCGCTCAAATCAACGCTTTAGCGCTAGATTTCTACCAGCTTAGTTTCCTTTCCACGATCATGAATCCATGGCCATGGTTGCAAGTTTCTGCCACTCCATTTTTCCCCACGGCCATGGCTGTGAATCCACGACCATGGCTACAAGTTTCTGCCACTCTATTTGCCCCCACGGCCATGATTGTGAATCCACGGTCATGGTTACAAGTTTCTGCCACTCCATTTTCCCCCATGGCCATGGTTGTGAACCCACTGTCATGGGTGCAAGTTTCTACCACCACATTTTTCCCCAAGGCCATGGTTGTGAATCTATGGCCATGGTTGTGAATTTCTGCCACTTCATTTTTTCCTCACGACCATGGTTGTGAGTCTCACAATTTCTGAAATTCCATGGTTTTCACCTTTGATCCTCTCTTTCTCTTCACCAATCTTCCCTCTAAACATGATCTACGCTCAAAATCTCTACCCAATTTGTTCATACAACCAAAAAAACACAAGAAATTCAACATGCATGCAGCCAAATTCAAAGAAAATCATCAATGTTCAACCTTTCATCAAGAAACTAGAACCCCATTGTTCAACATGAAAATCACTTCGGAGTCATCCCCCATTTACAATTTTCAAAATCAAGTCTTAGTTTATTCAAACAACCTAACATGAAAATCAAAATCTCAAGTTTTCCAGCTTCCCTTACCTCAATCCCAAGCTCTACGAGGAAGAAGAAGAGAAGAACGAAGAAGAAGAATGAAGAAGGAGAATCCGTGCGACTCTGGTGCTCAAAGTCCTCAACTTCTCCTATTGCTCGGTACCTTGGTGAATCAAAATGAGAGGAATGAGTTCAACAACAAAGAAACATCAAGAATGCAATGGTTTTCCAGCACAACAAGTGAAGGTAAGTGAGTGAAGGAAAAAATATGAAAAGAGAAAGAAAGAGTAGAAGGAATAGAAAAGGGAATGAAAGTTTTGGATCTCACAAAAAACAAGTTATTCAACTGATTGTTATTGTATTTAAATACTAATACACCCCTTGAAAGTTGTTTTATTCAAATAATACATTCTAATGACTTTTATTTTTTTTTGTTGTATTTGAATAGCATACATGCTATTTGATTACAACCAAATAAACAAGTTTAGTTTATTCGAATGAAAGATTATTTTAATCAAATAAAAGAAAAAAAATAAAAAAGGTGTTAAATACAAATTAACTTAAAAGGATAAAATGTAATTTTTCAATTATTATTATTTTTTAATTCATTCAAATCAAACAACTTTATAATATTATTTTTTTAAAATCAAACAAACTCATTTTCATCATATTTGTTTACTTATATCTATTCACTTATTTTTCTTTTTCTTTTTTTATTTCTCTTTACCTTATTTTTCACTTATGAATTTCTTCGAAACCAACCACAATATTTATAACTGTGTACACTATTAAAAAATATTTGTTATTTTCTCGCTTGTTTTTTTTTTAACGAAGGCATATAATGCCTTTTTATTTCCTCCACTATTTAATAAAACCCATGAAACTAATATATTTAGTCTAAACTTTTATCGTTTGATATTTAGTGTAGGAGTAGAGTTGGAGTAAGCTGATTATTATAAAAATATATGTAAAAAAACACCAATTTTTTTAAAACCAAAACACTAATAATTTTAGAAGGAAGGAAGTATTATACACAACATTATCCTTTATTCCTTTTATACAATTTTATAATGGGTAAAAATTTGTTTTACATTCTCCTAATAAATATATAGATTACTTTATATTTAATAAATTTCATTTTAAAAATAATGAATTTAAAGATGTGTGTGTGAGGGAGAGAGTTATCAACTAACAAGAGAAAACAGAGAGACAAAGTGTGTTGGAAGTAGGAATAACGAAGCTCTTGCCTTGAGAGGATATACGCGAGTACAGCAAGAATCTAACGTATTGCAATTGCAAACAGTCATTTGTGTCAGAGCCGCCAGTTTCTCTACGCTCTTCACGGGTCGGACTCAATCATTGTTATGGCCTTTGTGCCAGTAATTTAATTCC